ACAGAAGTTGCTTTTTTGAAGAAGGAAAATCACCACAGAATCTAGGCAGATAATTAAAAAAGATAGCATTGAATTTAGCAACCATAGAAGTGCAAATACATGAATAGGGCCACCAGCACCCGACTATCTTCCACCAAGCCCACAGTAACCACTTCATTAGATAGAGATTACTCCTATGAGAATGTAGCCGAGTGAGTACACTAGGACTTAAGCCTAACCAAGAATCAAGTCACAGCCACAGCTCGGGGCCACTTCTCTTCAACCTTAATAGTAGCTCGTATGGCCAAGCTGCAAAAATCAGGTTATTTTGAGAAGTGCTTTTTTTCAATAGTGCTTTTCTGAAAAAGTACTTGTGGTGAGAAGCAGTTTGTGTTTGACTAATTAGTTTGAAAAGCACTTCTGAGCAGCAATTAGTGTTTGGCCAAGCTTTAAAAAACTGCTTCTAAGTGTATTTTTCTCAAAAGTGCTTCTCAAAAAAGTGCTTTTGGAGAGAAGCTACTTTTTTCTGCTTCTTCAAAACTGCTTCTGCTTTTCCTCAAAAGTACTTTTTTTTCCTTCCAAAAGCTTGGCCAAACACCTCAATTTTTGGCCAAAAGTGCTTTTGGCAAAAAAAAAAAAAGTACTTTTGGCCAAAAAGAAGCTTGGCAAAACAGGCTATAGGTCCCTTGCCCTAAGTGGCGGAGCCAGAAACTTTACTAAGGGGAGTCAATATATATATATAAAAAAAACACATAAAGGAATTCACATGTAATACATATACATTAGAATTTTTTTAACCTAACTACACACTGTTATTTTTCGGCGAAGGGGAGTCAATTAAGGTGGCTCTGCCACTGCTTGCCCTCTTACTAGGCAAAGATAGATCCAGGTATATAGTTAATGGCTTAGGCTTAATGGTTGCTCCGAAGATGGCGGCGAGAAATTCTTTAGTTGAGATAGGCAGCACATGCAGTTTCTGATTCGTCATCTAGCAAGAAAGTGAATATTTGTATAGGCTACAACTAAGTTGTCACGACAGCTCTCACAAGTCTCGCCAACTTGCAGATATATGGCTTCTACTAGCAGTTACACCAAACCAAAAAGGAGAAGAGGGAGCAATAAGCTGATCCCAGCATGTGCTCTATGGTATAAGTCGCAGAATGTAATGAACCAATTGCAATGTCCACATTCACTTACAGGAATCTAAATGCTGATATTCAAGGATTAGGCACTTAGACAGGGCTCTCAGACAGCTTTGAGAAACCAAGCTTCTTCAGGCGATTCTTTATAGGGCCTGCCCAAGTTCTGTCAACATCCCCACAATTTATGTCCACAATCTCCACCCTGTAAGGTCCCTTTCTCTCAGGTTTCTGCCTCATAGGAGTTCCATCAACGAAGACATTGTCGTTTTCTAGTATTGGAATTTGATTAGTTTTTCGATTATAGTGCTTTGTTTTCCTGACAATTTCAGGGCATTTTTTATTATCCTCAGACATCACACTACTGCTTGCTTCATCACTCGATGTTCCTGGCTTCACTCTTTTAGGACTGGTCGCACTGCCAGCAATGAAAGAACAAACAGTAGGAGACTTACTTCTATATGAAGCCGGTGTCTGAGGAGAAAACTTCTTAGAATCTAATTCTCTTGACATCAAGGCACCGATTGTACCAGTTGTTCCAACTTTAATAGAACCTCCACCACCCATATTGGCTTCCACTGTCTGAACCATTCTTCTTTCAAAATTTTCTAGGATCGTCTATCAGATATTTAATTCAACCCTGCGAAGCAGTAGCAATCAGTTCATGAGCAAATAAATTATGCCTAGATTACTAAAATCATTGTTTGGCACGAGTTTAAGTGTGTACGCAGACCTTATCCCTACCTCGAGGGAGTAGAGAGGCAAAGAAGAATATCACAAACGGCAGGCCAGACTGCCAAAGAGCTAGATTGATAAGATATCACAAACGGCAGGCCTAACTGCGAAAGAGCTAAAGAAGAATCTGAGAATAGGGCTTCCTCCAGACAAATGCCAATAACTTCATCTAGATCAAATCCAAACACAGAGGAACATTTATTATCTATAACGAGAGCTCATTATTGGCAGATAGATAGAGGACAAAACTTCAAGTGCATAATAATTACTCAAAAACAATAAAGAAAACGAACTTCACTGCCCTACAAATCTACTAAAATATGAGCGAGGCTTCTTGAAATTTGGTAATATCACAACTAAAAGATATCCAAAACGGATTCTTTGCAGGGTAGCACACAGCTGGGCAGAAACTTGTACTCCATTATCCAGAGGTAGTAATCTCCTAGACTGAAACTGAGCGTTATCTTTACAAATATCTACAGCCCAGATGTATGTCCAAGGGTTAAAAAATGAAAACAAGTACAAAATTACACCCATAGTCACAAAAGGAAAGTAGATAAGTATAACACCAAATCAAAACCTAACTCTCAAAGATACATTATCTGGTTTGTTCCAACCTTAGCTTCATCACCTGGAAAGCTTCTTAAACAGGGAAAATAAACAATGAAAAGAATGAACTAATCATCTGGGTCCGGAACCGGAAGAATGAGAGGTTTAAAAGGATGGAATAGTATACATTGGGAAAAACGCAGCATGATACTAATTCCGATTTCTAAAGGGCTGAAAATATTTTCCAAATTATATATTTCTCTACCAAAAATAATCCGAGCAATGGTAATTCACAAGTAGAATTCTGCTGGAAAACATCCAGAGAGAAGCAGTTGACAGGAATTTTTTCGACAATGCAGTATGACACTGGAAAAACAAATAACAAAGCACTCCTTTCATTCGTATTCAACTGTCATACTCTTCATCCGCACATATCAATACTTCCGTTACTGTTCACAAAAATCAGATCCAGAATTTGAACTTTATGGTTCGAGTTTGAAATTCTACCACAGCCCATCCAGAATTTGAACTTGATGGGTTCGAGTTTGAAATCTTATCACAACCCATTTGATTAATCGAGTTCAAAAATTGATTATTTGTACTTATTTAATGGATTTTTAACAACAGGGTTTGATCCAAAGCTACTAGATTTGGACGAATCTGTTATGTAAACTAAATCCTACCCTGACTGTACGGCACCATCTCCCTCACAAAACGTCATCTCAATCAGCAAACAAGAAGAAAAAAACGAACTTAGCAAAGGGAGAATAATCAAGTTTTGCATCTTCATTCCAACAAACTATATTCCTCATCAGATAAAAAACAGAAACATTGCAAGTGGATACAATCAAGCCAAAATAAAAAAAAAAATCAGACAGAGAATTGAATTAGCAGTAATTTAAACCAATTACAGCAAAGAAGTTAATAAATAATCCAAAGTCTTGCTGATGACAGAGGAAATAAGACCCATAAATCCCAAATAGTAAAATGCTAAAATTGGAGTAGAAAATTGAATTTTAATTTTTTCATAAATCAAAAGAAGGGATAGACCTAATTAAGAGAACAATATTCTTAAGGTAAAATCTAAATAAATAACTCGAAAAGTCCAACAGAAAATGAGAAGTATTCACTCAGTGAGAATAGAGATTCAAAGTTTACCAGAGAAACAGTGTCAACTGAAGTACTCAAAAGTTAGAGAAAAAAGATGACCCAAATTAGACAGAAAGCAGAATTATGCAAAATACAGTGCCAATTTGAATTAAGGTGCGGTGTACGTGGAAGCTCAGATGTCGCAGATTTCATGTGAATTTGTGTCACTTTCAAGATATCTTAATCATTATGTAATGATGCGTCCCTACTTTTGGCAACGTATCTCACTAGTCAAACAAAACGAAGCTGTAGATGGAACATCTGATTTCATATATGTTAATCCGGCCTTCAGAATTTTGAAATTTTTGGAAATAAATTTTCAAATTTTTTGCACAAATACTGTGTTTCAAAAAAAAATAAAAATAAAATAAAAGCTTCTAAGGGGACTGTATAGGGTCAAATTTGACCCTCAGTATCTCTACGCCAGTGGGTACGCCCAATGAGTGTACGCCGACCAACGTAGCGGGTACGACTCGGCCGTGAGGACCAAAGCGACGTCGTTTAGAACTCAGTGTCTATACTAGGGAGACGTTACCTATCTCTGTAACTTTTTAATTCTTTCGAGGAAGGTCTCCTATTATATAAAGGAGACTTCCACATTGTAAAAAGGGGGATCTGATCTAATACAACTTTCTCATTTTCTGTCTTTCTCCCTCTATATCACTACTTCTGATGAAAATACCTTATTAACATACATTGTCACTTTGCAATATTAGATCTATAACAATATTATCATCTTTGCATCTTTAGGCTTATTATATTTGATTACGATTTACCCCTTCTCTATTTTTTGATTGTTTTATCGCTTACAAAGTACATCGTTAACTTTTAAGCCAAATAATTTGGCGCCGTCTGTGGGAATTTCGAGAATCAAAACCATAGTATCCACCTAGAGATCAACCAACTACTACTCTCTACACCACTCAAAAACAGAAAATGGCTGAAAATAACACAAGATCGAAAGCCATATTGGGTGTCACTACCAATCTCCTGGGCCCTCTCAACGAGGCCAGTGACGATGGCATCCTGAATGAAACCCCTAGCATCACACCAGGTGCAGAGATCTCACCTTCCCCATCCGAAGGCCTGACGATCTTGCACGAAAAAGGAGCTTCCACATCTGCGGCTACAGAAGCACCCTCAGCGGTCAAAGAGCTACTGGAAAGATGGCTAACAAGCACTCTAAGTGGCTTGGTTGAGAGGTCACCGCAAAATAAAATCGTATGTGCACCAACGGTAGGTACCACTGCTGCAGTAGGTGAACCGGAAGTTACACTGGTAAATAACAGACCCATCGAGACACAGACCAACGATGGCACGCTAACAGCCATCCTAAAGAAGATGGAAGAAATGGAAGGCGAAAACAAGGCGCTCCGCGGTCAGATGAAGGAACATCAGGAGAGGGTCGACAAGATCCCCGGTGCTCCCAAGTTGCTACCAAAACGCGACGTGGGAAGGTTCGTTGAACAACCATACACCGAAGAAGCTGCTCCTCACTCCACCCCAAAAACCTTCAAGATGCCACCCTACTTAAGGGTATATGACGGAACCACAGATCCCGAGGATCATCTGATCCACTACGTCACCGCTGTGAAGGGCAACGACCTATCGAAAGAACAGGTACTGTCGGTACTGCTGAAGAAGTTTGGCGAGACGTTGACAGGAGGGGCCTTAACATGGTACTCTCAGCTACCGGCTAAGGCAATAACAACGTTCGAGGAAATGGCGGATAAATTCGTCACAGCCCATGCAGGCGCGAAGAAAGCGGAGGCCAGGGTCAACGACATCTTCGCCATCAGGCAAAATACAGGAGAGGGACTCAGGGACTTCCTGGCAAGGTTTAACAGGGTGAGGATGAGTCTACCAAACGTATCGGAAGGTATGGCAGTCGCCGCTTTCCAGAACGGGCTAAGCAGAGATGGTTCGAGGGCAACCAAGAAGCTGCTGAGCCGCCTCATGAAATATCCCCCTACCACATGGGAGGAAATCCACAACGCCTATTGCGCCGAGGTACGAGCGGACGAGGACGATCTTAATGGGCCGACCCAACGGCTAATAGAGATACACTCAGAAACGAGGAGAGATCGACGGAATGAAGGACGACGAGAAAAACTCCCCCGCTCCAACAGAGATCGACACCAGCCATACACCAGATCCTCCCATCCGCCACCAAGGCATACAGACGCATTACAGCGACACGTCGCCCCACTGCGAAACGAAAGAGGTACGCCCCCTTTATTAACTGCCCATAACTTTTGTGTATCTCCTTCAGAGATAGTGTACGCACTGGAGAAGCTAGGCACCAAGGTGCATTGGCCGCAGAAGATGAAATCAGACCCTGCCACAAGGAAATCAAATGCCCTATGTGAGTTCCATCAGGAACGAGGACACAAAACCGAAGACTGCATAGGCCTACGGCAAGAGGTGGTCAGGATGCTGAAGCAGGGATACCTGAGGGAGCTACTCAGTGACAAAGGAAAAATCAACTTCGCATGCGGACGGGAACAACTCCACGGGCCGCCGAAGCCACCTTCCCCAGCACGCACGATAAACATGATCGTCGGAGGCGACGACGACTTAGCGATCAATCACGTCAAGCTCGCCACCACACACAGACTAAAGCGGACCATCGCCCATGAACGGCATGAGGACTTCGAAGATTGTATCACCTTCGATAAGTCTGATGCCGACGGTTTGTCTTTCCCTCATTATGATGCCTTAGTTATCACTTTACGTATCGCTGATACGGATGTTAAAAGAGTCATGATCGATGACGGAAGTGGCGCCTGTATTATCCACCCAAGGGTCCTCATACAAATGGGACTCGAGGATAAGGTAATACCGCGCTGCATAACACTAACCGGTTTTAACAATGCAGTGGAACGGACGTCCGGAGAAATAGCACTGCCCGTCTTAGCGGGAGGAGTCACGCTGGAAACAACTTTCCACGTGATGAACCAAGAAACGGCGTACAACGTCATCATAGGACGCCCGTGGATACACGCCATGCGAGCGGTCCCTTCAAGCCTCTACCAAGTAATCAAACTCCCTACCCCATGGGGAGTATTCAGTATTCGAGGCGAGCCACGCACGGCACAAGAATGCTACAAAATAGCCCAACAGCTAAAAGGGGCGAGCGCGGAGGCATAGCAATTAGCCGTGTCGGGAACTAAGGTCAACCCGACAACGGACGTCATCAAAGACCCTGACGTCGTGGAAGCCAGTAAAGCAACGGTCGAAGACCTCGACCCAGTCCAATTGGACAAAACCGATCCTACGAAGAAAGCCTATATCGGGCAAGGTCTCGCCAACCCAAGTAAGTATTGTGAATTCTTAACTAACCATGCAGATTTGTTCGCCTTTTCCCATTCAGATATGCCGGGAATCCCGCGAGACATCGCCACCCACAAGCTGAATGTCGATCCATTACATCCGCCCGTACGACAGATGAGGAGAAAATTCAACGCCGCCATCAATGAAGCGGTCGGTAAGGAAGTAGACGAGCTACTGGCCAACGGCTCCATTAGAGAATCAAAGTATCCCGAGTGGGTCGCCAATGTTGTCATGGTCAAAAAGAAAAACGGGAAGTGGAGAATGTGTGTGGATTTCACCGATCTGAACAAGGCATGCCCAAAAGATTCATTCCCACTACCCCACATCGACCAACTGATCGACGCCACTGCAGGACATGAACTACTGAGCTTCCTAGACGCCTACTCCGGCTACAATCAAATCATGATGGCCGAGGAGGACCAAGAGAAGACAACTTTCATCACCCACCAAGGGACTTACTGCTACAAGGTAATGCCCTTCGGGCTCAAAAATGCGGGGGCTACATACCAGAGACTGGTAACCAAAATGTTCAAAGAGCAGCTCGGTAAGACTATGGAAGTCTATATCGACGACATGCTGGTAAAGTCGACAAGAAAAGAGGACCACATCGACCATCTGAAAGAAACCTTTGAGATACTGAGAAGATACGGGATGAAACTGAACCCCGAGAAATGCGCCTTCGGCGTGGCATCAGGAAAATTCTTAGGGTTTCTCGTATCGCAACGAGGTATCGAAGTCAATCCAGATCAGATCAAGGCGATAGACGCAATACCGGAGATACTGAACAGCAAAAAGCAGGTGCAAAAGCTGACAGGGCGAATAGCCGCCTTGTCTAGGTTCATCTCACTGTCCTTCGGCAGATGCCATAAGTTCTTTAATGTGCTGAGAAAGGACAAAGGGTTACAGTGGGATGAGGATTGCATCGAGGCCCTAAGGAAATTGAAAGCGTACCTATCCTCACCGCCACTGCTAGCCAAAGCCAACCCAGGCGAACCACTGCTGGTATATTTAGCCGTATCAGAGGTCGCCGTCAGCGCAGTCCTGGTTCGTGAAAATGAAGGTATGCAATCTCCTATTTACTATATTAGCAAAACCTTAGTGGACGCCGAAACACGGTATCCACACCTTGAAAAATTAGCGTTGGCATTGGTCGTAGCTTCACGGAAGCTCCGACCCTATTTCCAATGCCACCCCATAAAGGTAGTAACGACCTTTCCCTTGAGAAGTATCCTGCACAAACCTGAGTTATCAGGTAGACTCGCCCGATGGGCCATGGAGCTCAGTGAGCACGATATCTCATATCATCCAAGAAACTCCATCAAGTCGCAGGTACTTGCCGACTTCATAGCCGACTTCAGCGCAGAGATACTACCAGAGGCGGAATTGGAGGCACGCCGTGCCCCCTCCAATGCCGACCTATGGACTCTTTACACTGATGGCGCCGCTAACGCCTCGGGATCGGGACTGGGACTCGTTCTCGAGGACCCCACGGGCGAAATAATTCGCCAGTCCATGCGATGCCCCGAGATGACTAACAACGAAGCCGAGTACGAGGCTGTTATTGCAGGGTTAAAACTAGCCATCAACTATGGAGCTCGACGACTCGTTCTCCATTGCGACTCTCAGCTCGTGGTGAACCAGGTCACTGGGACTTACCAAATCAAGGAGCAAAGGTTGCAAAAATACCAATCATAAATCCATAGGTTAATGACCGAGTTCGACAAGTGCCGCTTCGAACAAGTTCCAAGAACACAGAACGTCGAGGCAGACGGCTTAGCAAAATTAGCCGCAGCCACTAAGAACTTCAACAAAGAAAGCGTGGTCACCCTCCTCCATTCAGCCATGGATCACCCCGAGGTACTCTCTCTAAATTTGACTTGGGACTGGCGCA